AATTGTGAAAAAAAAAGAATAATATAAAATAATTAAAGGAAAAAACACATGGTGTGCAGTACTAGCGTGCACAAAAAAATTTAATTTAAAAGAGCGTTATTTTTTCCTATTTCCAAAAAAACATGAAAAGTACGTTGTTTTTATCATTTTTTATATAAATCAATTTTCAATTCTATGTACATTTTTATTGATAAAATATCTAATTTGTAGATGGTTGCAATGGATACGAACATGTGGAAGGCTGGACATAGAACCAAAAGGTCCAGAATATGCGTACCAGAATTGTCGGTCGTGCCATTTACATTTCGAAGAAAAATGGTACAAAATAAATAAAATGAGAGCTCGTCTTCATCCAGACCGCCACTTCATGCCATACCGACAATATTTTTTAGACCAGAATGTGGAAGTAAATTTCTACTTATAATTTAATTTTTAGTGAACGCAAATTCTGTTTTTATATTATAAAGATATAAAAAGAATATAATAAAGATATAGTTTTTTAAAAATTAATTTAAAAATAATTTATATCTATGTAGTTACTTTATAATAAGTAGTTATAGTGACTAATGAGCAAAACAATATTTTATTTTTTATTTATTATTAATAACAAATAATTTATGAATTCAGGAAATAATAATATCTCTTTTTAGAGAAAACACGATTGACATGAACATTAAAGACGAAGCAGAAACAAATAAGTATGTTAAATTCAAATACTTCGTATTTAAATATTTTTTTGTCTGTATATACTTATATATGTGTGTGCGCGCGTGCGTGTGTGTTGCGTTGCGTGTGCGCGCTCGCGTGTGTGTATGTAAATATAATATTTTATTTTCAAATGTTGTGATATCATATATTTTTATTACAGAAACATAATTAGAGAACCTGTAAGTAAAATAATACAGGAAAAAAACTGATAATAGATAATATTTTCTATTTTTAATAAAAAATTTAATATAACAAAATTTTATATTTTCAGCAATCTGGAATCTGCAGAAACACAACAGAAGCATCTGGAGAAAGTCTTTTTAGATCTTTTTAGAATCTTCTGCTAGTTAGTCAAGTCTCTGCATATTGCATTCTGTTGTTATAAATAAAGGCTGCGTTTCCATTTCGTTTCAGTGCAGTATCCAGTAGCCGCCATTTTGAGGGATACTGTACTGGGGCTCAATTGTGTATTTTGAAATAAAAGCAATAATTACTAAGTGTTGACCAATTAAATTATGAATATTCTAGTGAATTTGTTCACTTTTATAATTTTCACCTCATTCCAAGATACATAATCAACTCCCTAGAGAAGTTCCCAAATGACTGGATACTGGCTAGTGACGTTATATATTGCAGCCTCGCATGCGTATTGGCTTATAATTTAAAACTGTTCTGATAAACGAGGTACGATGTCACTAGCCAGTATCCAGTCATTTGGGAATGCTTCTCCAGTACAGTATCTAAATGGCGGCTACTGGACTGAAATGAAATGAGAACACAGCCAAAGTCTTATTATAAGTTCTATAGTATATTGTGAGTTATTAGAAATTCTTCCTGTATATAATCGCTACAGTTTAATATTTGTCAAAAGTGAAAAAGAGAGTTCTAGAACAGTTTAGTATAGGAACAGAAAACAGACTATTTATTTGCTGGCTTTATATTCGTATTTTATCAGTTCTTATCAATACCTGCGGGCCTATTTTGTAATTCTTAACGCAAATATTGTTACCATTATAATGCCACTGCATAACTCTTTTACTAGGATAAAAAAGCTGCAACAACATTATAAGCATTTTAAGCCTATTAATTGACTCAAAAAAAAAAGTTGTCGGATCTCTCTATCCTATAATCAATAAACCCAAAATCTTTATCATACAATAAATGTAATATCAGCTTAACAATAACGAAACTTGAGTTAAGTACAATTAAAAGTTACAGAATAGGCCTGCTGGTGTCTACCGTACGAAGTAAGAGGTTACCTTGTGTACAACTGTCTGCTTTTTAAACATGGCATCCAAATTAGTAGGTTATTCTTCTTAGCAGATTTCCTCCCAATTTAGTGCACAAACCGGTTCTATTTTTTCTGCGCACGCTATCAAGTTAAGTCTCCTTATCTCTTACTTCGTGGTTTTCCGTAAAATCCCTAGATTTATAAAGTATACAATTGATTTCAGAAATGTCACGTCAAAATGACGGAAGTGCACATAATACACGATTTTAAGCATGGTGGTTGGTGATTTATCTTCTAAACTGTACTTACATGTCCTTTCATGCACTTTTATGCACTAAATTTCTACAACAAATAAACCCGTATTAAACTAAAGAATACATAAATTAAACATTCGTACGTATTTTTTATTTATGAATAAACTAATTACAATTAAAAAACATTGATTTTACATACTCGACGGCTTCATTTTCCCAAATAAAGTATGTATATACAAATGCATAAATTTGAAATTGTGTTTCGCGTCAAAATAGATGCAAGTTTGCGTATATACAAGTTTATATATGTACATACTTTATAAATTTAGTAACTTTAGTAGACTGCCAATTTCACCTCCATCTTTGAAGACAGCACTGGACCTTTATTTCTTGAAAAGGAACGTATACGAAACTGTAGAAAAATATTAGCATGCGTAACGTATACTATAGTATTTCCCTAGACTTTCGTACGTTCCCTTTTAAAATAGGGGTCCTGGGGCCTTATTCTTGAAAAGTATCGCGTATAAAAAACTACAGGAATACTATAGTATGCGTTACATATACTATAACATTTCTCTAGTTTTTCGTATGCGATACTTTTCTAGAGCCTTTAAGCAATGATATGACATATTTGAGTTCTTTCATTCACACATATATAAATTACATGGATAAATTTACACGATACTCGCAGACAGGACGCATACATACGCATATGGAAACTAAACAAGGACAGCTCGGAATTGGATTTATCTTTTTCTATCGCATTAAGTCAGCAGTCTATTTATATAAGTTGTAATCAGAAGTAAGAGATTGAACTGCGCGAAACAATAGTGATTCGTGACCTCTAATTGGGAGGAAGTCCGCTGAACGGAATGGATTTTTATGTTTGGGCGCCATTTGCAATTAACCTTATCCGAGCAGTCCGACCTTACCTCGGTCTTGTTCCCAATAGTGCTCAGTCGGCAGTCCTCAATTTTTTCAGTCCTTTGTGGTTTAGTTCTTTATTATCTATATATTTAGTATTTTGTTTAGCATTAATATTGTAAGATTTTTATAAAATATAAAGAGGCTAGCTAAAGCGCTGGGCAACCGGCGCGATGACAGCCTGGAGCGTCAAACGCACGCTTCGAAGCGAAAGAAAGAAGATGCGTCCCGGAACAGGAACATGACGGAGAATACTCCGAGATTCTTATATCTGTATTCATAGTCCTTCCTTGAGGAACAAAGATTCCTTGTTCCTTATTTCACGTTTCATAAACCTTCCTTGACCAAACCTTATTAGCTTCCTTTTCTCAAAGAAGATTACGAATTTTCTTGAGAAGGTGCAGCCTTCATAACCAATCAAATCATCAAATTTAGTCCGTCACACTGGTCTTTTTATTTTCGATAACTCTTAATTTAGATGCTTTTAATTTAGATTGTGTCGCATCGATAATTATTTTCGATAGTTTTTTTTCGGAAATAAACTGCGTCAAAAATATTTTCTCCTTCTTCGTATAAGCATTATGACGAATCTGATTGGAAGCATTGTATATTAAAACCGTTGTGCACTAATTCCCAATAACCCTATTTTCTCTTCTACACACGCACGCACGCACGCACAACTACATTTAGCTAACTCACTATTGTAATCGATTTCAACATAAACAAAGTTGATTGTAACTAAATTTAATAATTTGTTTTTTTTATATATATAAATACATATATATATGTTATAAATAAACTTAATAATAATTTTGCTTAAATAAATGTAAGTTTTATATTATAAATGAAGATTGCCAGCTTCCATTTATTTTAAATCACCACTTGCATTCCTTTCCTTCTAATACCTGAGATCGCACGAGGTTCAATCCCGAGTCAAAAGAATTAAGTTCTTTGACCCAAAAGTAGAATCGACGCACTGTCTATCGGAATAGGTAGCGTCCTTTCGGGATGTTGACTCGTATTTGGAGACCGAAAAGGTGTGTACGATTCCCAGGTATTCGCCTCTGCGTGTATACCTGTGAGATTGAATTTAACCGTCTTTCCATGTCTTCTCCATTCTCCCTCATTGTTTCCTTGACCAAATTTTTAAGGGTTTGGACGTAATATAGGAAATTTGTCACGGTGGTATAGAGGGACATGAGTAAAGTCTTCATGTATGTGAAGATTTTTTGCTTCAATTACACAAATTCTCAGTTTAAAAAACAAATTTTCTGCTTTATAAAAAATTCTTTGTTTTAAAAAAGAAATAGTAATTATTTATATATATGGATTCCTAGAATCTTAATAAAAACTTACTCATTCGACGCTTTTTCATTCAAAATGAAAGAATCTGGCAAAAAAAAAACACGGTGGTCAGCCTCGTAAATCGAATTATTTTGAACTTTGAAAACAAAAATTCACTTTTAAGCAAAAACAAATTCTTTACATTAACAGTGAATTTATATTTTTAAAGAATTAGTATTCTTAAAACAGTGAATTTGTGTTTTAAAGCAGTGAATTTGTGTTTTAAAGCAGAGAATTTATTTTTAGAGCAGAGAATTTGTGTAACTCTATATGCCATTGATGTGACAAATTTTCTGACCCGATTATATTTGTCAATTTCAACAATTAATATCTCGAAGAATAGATTTGGACATGGAGAAAACTCGCGAAACGTATAATCTTTGTAATTAATATCTCGGTTTGCGAGACAGAGCGATATTTTTTTTTACAGATTCGTTCATTTCATGCAAAAACGCGTCGAATAAGATTAATTTTATCAAGATCGGAGGTGAGGTCCCTAAACTCAATAATTACCGATATTTTTATTAGTAGGTTATATTCTTTTTCAACAAAACTGTCTTTAATCAGTAAGAAAGTTAATATTGATACGATGTCGAAACGACATCTTGGACGTCAAAATTAGCTCTGATAAGGATAAAAAACTCGATGTGTGTTTAAATTTTGATTTATTTTCGAGTTGCCTTAAATAAATGATAAATAGCTACTCCTGTTACTGTTTTGTTTAATTTTAATACAATATTATAATTATTGCATATCCTTTTATACATAAAATCTCGAAACAAGATCGAAATGATATCAATATAATATTTTTGATTTATTGAAAAAACTCATCAATCGACATCGATTTGACGTCAATTTGATGAGTCATTTTTTTATTGATAGAGAAAAAGAGAGAAATGATCAATCACATTGGTGAACAGAGCGAATTATTGTTCAAATGTAATTGGTCACTTTTCTCTCCGAGATCCCGAATCGATTTCCAGCATCGTGGATACAATTAAATTTAAAAAATCAGCAATATCAATATACACCATATATATAAAGGGTGTACGGTTTAAGTTTTGACAAAACGCTAGTGTGTTTTTAAGACTGTCTTAAGTATTATATGTCAATCATGAATCGTATCTTAAGACATTATTGAAGACGGTCTTAAAATAAGAGGGTTGAGAAATGACCGTTAATTCTATGTCGAACCGATAGTGATTATTAATACTAACCAAAGAATGCTTTAAAGTATTTGTAGTATTAGGCGATCGTAGCCTATCCTGCACTGCAGTTTGTCAAATTCGACATTGGTCGCGTTCAACAGACTTATCTGTTGCAGAGGATTCATGAGCGCTCACTGTTATTGGTGTATCCTTTTAGATAGACTAACTCAGCAAAGAGCGAGAATGGATTTAAATTGTTTTAATGTATACTTTAAATCTATGAAAATGGATTGAAATAGATTGGATCCAAGCTGACACTAGTTTAATATTTGAAAAAAAAACATTCATATTTAAGGATTACAAATCTTATTCCTAAAACATTTATGATAATTATATCTGAAATTAACTGCTTCAAATTGGTATTAAAAAACGCACCTTAGAGGAATTTGACCTAGGATCTCTGGTTTATGAATCTTTTATCCGCTACATCACTTCTTCAATTTGTAAATGTGTTATTTATTCTCTCTACTTACAACCAGCTGTCTTATAACCAGCTAAACTAGTAACGAAATTATATATATAGATATAATAAAAATACCATCATTTAACAAATATAATAAAGTATAAACAATTTACATTACTACTTAGCAAACAAGAATGGATTGAAATGAATTAATTCAGATTTTCAGAAATATTGATTCACAAATGTTAAAATAAATGTTTTTCAATCCTAAATGCGTTTTTATTCATTTATAGAAATTGGATGGAGCATACACCTTCCAATCTAAAAATAATATTAGCTTTTTCTGTGCATTGTGAATCTGATCAATTCAAAATTTTGAATAGGAAATGCAGTTTTTCAATCCAATTGCATCCAATTGAATTTAATTGAATCCAATTGAATCCAATTAAATCTAAAAAAAGGTATTCGCTATTTAAAATACGCATTCGGATAGAAAAAGATTTCAATTCATTTTAATTTATTCTGGGTGGATATGAGACAACGTTGGGTAAGTGTCGGATAATCTAATCTTATTTGGCCGATATCGCGCGCCGTGGTTAGTCTAATATTTGGACTGTGTTCGATTTGATTTGCGAGTGTTTACATCGAATTTTACTTCTAATCAAAGAGAAATAAAAGAACATAGCTCAATTATTTTTACGTTACAACTTTTTTGAACTTAGTTACATTAAAACGAAAAATTTCCTACTTATAATTTTGAATAATTTAAGTAGCATTTATGGTCCATTTTTTTTAATAAAACCTTTTTTTATTTAATTATTGTAGATTGAAAAACTATATAATATTTTATATTCAGAATATTGAATTGAGTAGTATTCACGTGTACAGAAATTGCTGATATTATTTTTGAATTTAACTAAATTTAAAAAAATAGTATTTTCGATTCACAATTCTGAATTGAATAGTATTCACGATGCACAGAAAATGCTAATATTATTTTTAGATTGAAAGACATAGAAATATGCTCTATGCAATTCTTATAAATAAATAAAAATGCATTCAGGATTGAAAAGGCATAGACATTTGCTTTATGCAATTCCTATAAATGAATAAAATGCATTCAGGATTGAAAAGAATTTATTTTAACATTCATGAATTCGTATTTCTGAAAATCTGAATCCATTTTAATCCATTTCAATCCATTCTCGTTTGCTGGGAATAACAGCGAGCGCTCATGGATCCGTTCCTCAACAGTTGAATCTATTGAACGCGACCATTAGTTTCGACTTCAAAAATTATTTGAAATCGAACTAATTTCGACATAAAAAATTGCTCGAAATTGAGCTGATTTTGATGTCGAAATTTTCTCAAAACTGAACTCGTCTGAATCTCGAAACGATATTGGATTTAAAATAAATAACAACAAATGAAGGGCGAAATAAGAGTCAGCGCATTCTTTAAAAAAACATATAATTAAAGACATAAACCAAAGGTATAAAAAAGGTAAAAAATGGAGAAAAGACGTTTAATAATAAATAATAAATGGTGAAAGGTAAACATTATAAGTTTCAGCTATTGGAATGAGCCCTCTTCAGATATTAACAGAATAGAAACAGGTATTGGATATTGAATTTCTACCTTTTTTCGATGATTATTTTGATATCATTCGTTATCTCTCACTGGGAATAGACGTAATATCTTTTCATTTTACAAATAATCTGAAAAAAGCTATCTTTTAATCTTTTTTTAGTTTTTATATTCTCTGGAATATATATAGCGCATCTAGATATTATTATTAATAATAAATAGGAAATTAATAATATAAGTCGATTAAAAGTCGGATATAAAAAGTTAAAAACGGTGGCTTTCAGATTTTCGGAAATAGTTGATCTCAAGTCGACTTATAGTCAACAAAAAGCCATCCTAAAATAGTCGATTAAATGTTGACTTTAAGTTGACTAAAAAAAGTCGACTATTAATCGTCAAATTGTCGCGCGTGTGGAGATGTCTGTGTTCAAGACGTCTCTTTCAAACATGCACGTTTCTCTGAGTATAATACACTTGAATTGTTCTCGACAATAATTTGCAGACATTTTCGCAAAATTATAACGCTTCAACGTTACATTAGTGCAATTATTTATTTATAGATGCAAACCATTTATTTTCGCAATTAAAGGGTTCGTCCGTGAATAATTTCGTCGTAAAATGTTTACAACTATAAAGACTTATTATATCTCGAATCACTCTTGCTCTTTCCGCAACGACTGATTGTTAATTGTGACTGTCACTCGTGGTCACTCGGCATTGATAACTCTCGCGGACTTCCGACGAGACCTTTCGACGAGTTCGACGGTGAGAGGTGAGTATCACGAAGGAATAGTATCTCGCTTGGCTTTCTTTTTGCCAGGGGTCGTGAAAGGTCAGACTCGATGTATAATCGTTCGCGCCGCATCCCGGAGATGTATGCATACGAGAACACAGATGCCGTGAATTAAATTGCGCCGAGTTATAGCACCAGCAGTAAGATATCAGAAACTAAGAGAGCTAGAGCGGTTCTTGTTCAATATAATACACGAAAATCGTATCGCAAGATTAGATCATGTTCGGTATCGTTATTTCTCCCATAAATTTCGGCTTCAGTTTTGTATTGATGACTTTCTTAGTTCCGCTTCTTTTTATCGCGCACGTAGGTAATTATTTTCGTTTCGAATGTATTTTCGAGTTCTTCTTATTGTAATTATCCGCGCGCCCGCGCGCATTACCATATCTATACTATATATCTACTAATGCGAGTAATTTTGGCGCTAAAATTTTATTCTCCTACACGCTATAAATATCGTTTTCTCTCTCTCTTCTAACATGGGCTATATTATTGTGATACATGTGTATTTTTAAGCGGTGACATGGACAAGAAAATGTTGGATATGCTTTATCAAATGGAAACATCCGAGTTACGTCGTTGTGGAGGAGAACAGTATTCGCAGCATCTTGGACCAAGGACGCAATCCCGTAAGTATATACCTATGTACATATAATATCGATGAATTTTAATTGGGTCAATTTTAATCAATCGCTATATACTCGTATACTTACTGACCGTTTATCTATCGTCACCCCCAGCAAACGAGAATGGAATTGAAATGAATTGAAATGGATTCAGATTTTCAGAAATATTGATTCACGAATGTTAAAATGAATGCTTTTCAATCTTGAATACATTTTTATTCATTTACAGGAATTACATGGAGCACATATGTATCTCTATGCTTTTCAATCTAAAAATAATATTAGCTTTTTCTGTGCATTGTGAATACTGTTCAATTGAAAATTTTGAATAGTAAATGCAGTTTTTCAATCCAATTGCATCCAATTGAATCTAATTGAATCCAATTGAATCTAATTAAATTTACAAAAGTATTCGTTATTTAAAATACGCACATTCGAATAGAAAAAAAATTCAATCCATTTTAAACCGTTCTCGTTTACTGGACTACGATACATGCTTAGGGCATATGCATCCTTCTCGTACAAGGACGTTCGATCGTAAAGGACGTGAGAAATCACTTGACGCATTTGACTTCGACGAGAAAATTCCTTAAATCGACTCTCTTCATGCGATGGGGCGTATACGTATGGAAAGAACTCGATTACTTTTCCGTGGACAATCATCTTGCAAATTCACCGTACTCTTTTCGAGGTCGTCCTATCACCGAGAACAATATACAGGTCGTTCTTTCATTCAATTATTATATCACCTTATACTTGATATAGAGCAGAGCCAGCTATTTACAGGCAATTCCTTTGTGTCGTAGGATTACATAAGCGATGTCACATCCAAGTTTCTTCCAAAGAAATTACCGCCTTGGCAAGTGCGCGTAGTCAACTTGTTCGTGCGAGGAGAGGAACGTCAAATATGTCTCGTGCGAGCGCATCATTTGCTCTTGCGACAGGAGCATCTAACTTTGGCGGATTTTTTGCCGTTAAAATATACGACGGACAACTGGACTTGTCAAGAAAGCGATTCGCCCTTTACGAATCTGTATGTCCAACCCTCCGCTCTACCGCGTCTCCGACAAATGTTCCGAGAGAACTTCAGCAATTACTGGAACGATTTTCTTTACAACAACGATCCTGTAGAACAGCCGGGGATTCTAAAGAAGCGTATAGAAGTGTTTCAGTGTTTCAAGATCGCGACGATAGTGTTTGTCTGCACTCTGAAGGAATTGGTCAGGTATTCGATTGCCCGCGTTACATGATATCGTAATCTCAGGTTGCCTCTCGTTCTAAAGGACAATAACAATAAGTATAATATACAGATCGCTGTTACTATTGTCTTTATTCGAATATTCAAAAGGATTCAGTACATATCGCGATATTATATTTTATTATGTTTAACCTTATTGTTTTGTAATTTTTTTAGACAGTGTCGAAAGTCGGAAGGATTGAAAATTTTGAAGCTTCTGTCGATCGTCCGGCGAGAATCGAGCAAGAGGAATTTCAATTTTCGGATGATATATGACTCCATTGCGAAATCTTTTCATCCGATCGACATTCTCTACACGTGCGTTGCTCTGTCCTGGTACATCATAGTTATGTCGTTTTTAAAGACGCCTCTCTTGCTCATTCGAGAATTGCGAGCTTTACGATCGTTTTACAATCACAATAGACATTGCAGTTATCCTGCAGATACCTTGATATACACACTGTCGTGTTACCTTCCCCTGACGCTTCAAGCAATTCGAGAGACTATGTCCATTAGCTGGATAGCCGCGACTGCACCGAAAATCATAATCGAGGAGGTATTTTTGAAGAATCCGCAATCGAATCGACTGCAGACTATCTCACAGTGTGGCAGAAAAGTAGTGGCTTGGTCGGAAAAGGTAGACGTCGAGCTCGTACGAAAAATGGCTAATGTGACTGGCGCGACGGAGATGGAGATTCTTTTAACGGCTACCGTGGACGCCCTGAGAGAATATTTTCAGCACTTGGCCATCAACGTTCCGGATGTTGTATTCGCGACAGTCAAATACGTGAGTCAGCGAGCAGTGTTTCTTCGAAATCACGAGGCTAGAGGTATCCTCTGTATTGCGCTACCAATCAGAACGCCATTGTTCCACGACGATCCCATTGAAATATTGCAGGTAATGCTTACTCGACTTGAGCGCGAAAAGATAGTTACAGTTATTAGATCTCTCCAACGCGTCGCGTTTCCCCAAGGTTATTCAGCGAAACGTGCAGAATGCCAGGTCCCGGCAAAGCGCAATTTACGCTATCACGGCAGCAGAAACATCCCACGGATTAATTTCCTCCTGCATCCCGTCCATCGTTTTGAAATTACTTTTAAATCAACTGTCGAAAAGATACTCTCTATGTTTAACGCATGTTGATGGAGATTTACCTGTGGAGGGCATAGACGGAGTGGTTTATTGGCGACCACCGCAAGGAAACTGCAGTACATATACATATATATATGTCATTAATGTATTTCGCACTTTTGCGCGATATCTGATTTTCTTTTATTATATCGCGTTTGTTTATCAACTTGTATTATGCTTTTAGACATGTCTATGACTCTGCACAGGCATGATGACAGCGTACGCCTCGGTATAATGGGAGATGCCTTGATCGGCCCCCGGCATTTTATCATTGCGAGAGCGTTCCCTAAAAGCGTACGAAATCTCGCTGCCGTTCTAGGCGTTCCGAGAGCACTTATTCGAAGTCCAAGTCCTAATCCACTCAATCCGATTACGTCTCCAGGATACTGACATAATGAGATAGCTGATGAAATAATTCAAGATTTATCACAAAAGGGGATTGGACATTTTCCTTCCTTGCTCAACTATCTATACTACGTGCAAGAGATATACATAAAATATACATATACATACATATTTTTTTATTTTTTGTTTTGTAAAATATGTAATCGAAATTAAGTTCGAAACAGCGATACCATCATAACAAAATATTTACATCGTCATGTAATAACATAATTAAACAAACAATTAAATAAATAAATAGTTCAACAATTTATGGCAGAATTCTTTCCGCGAAATTGTACACAAATTTGTGTCTTAGATGCTCACATTTTCTAACAAAAATACATATATAT